CCCTCCCTCCACACACGCACAACCCCTCCCTCCACACACGCACAACCCCTCCCTCCACACACGCACAACCCCTCCCTCCACACACACACAACCCCTCCCTCCCAGCCACTACTAACCCAGCTTAAGGAATTTGAGAAGTAAGGAGAGGAAATTTTGATATAATTTTTTTTCTCCTTATTTCCCAAGTGTTGGCAGCACCAGAGGCGGCGGCCCCCTTATATGTGTGTTACGTTCTTTGATGTGGCTCACTGGTTGGCCTACACGATACATGAAAGAGGAGCCCTTACACGCACTAGTCTCTGTCTGTCTGAATTTTAATACAAGTCTCCCTCAAGATGGAAATGGAATTTTTCTAAAATATTCCCCCACTTACCAATTTCCGTCTCGCAAAAAAATACGAAGGTCTAAACTGAATAAATTTCGAGTTAAGGCTATTATTTGACGTACATTAAGGTGTTGAATCCTTCTGAGATGCTATGAAATGTATCTTTTTATTTATACATTTTTGTTCAACATGTACTATAGAAGGTGTCGAAACCTCCTGAATTAAAATGTATACTTATTTATGTAATTTCTATATGTATATCGTTATTAAATGGTGTTGAATCCCTCAGACATGCTATAAACACCAATTCAATTATTTTAGATGATTATTCAACTTGTATGAACTTGTGTGTTAAATCCTCATGAAACGATTTGAAATAAATTGTTTATATTCCCTCTATATGACGAGGTCGTCATGCATTATATATAAAATAAAAGATCGAATCCTTTGAAATGACAAGAACACTTTATTTATTTACCTGTTTATCTTTCTATACATTTTTCTCAAAGGAGTTCCCCATTCGACACACATTAAACGGACTGTCGAGGAGTCCTTTTGAAACGTTAACGAGATCCCGTCCGAGTTATTTGTAAACACGGGTAAAGCCGCCATTGTGTCGTTATATTGGCTCCAATTGGACAGACAAAGGTATTCAAGCCTCTTCACCCACGGCGTCAGCTCAAGAGCCATCTTGTGGCAGGGGGTTGAATCAAGGACCCTTCAAGAGGATGAATTTTGATAACGATTTACGAGTCACGGGATGGATGGACGGATAGACGGCGAGACGAGAGAGAGAGAGAGAGAGAGAGAGAGAGAGAGAGAGAGAGAGAGTCGTGTGATTTAAATGAAGGTTACAGACTTACGAACTCTGTCTATATACAGAAAATGCAGAAAATGCATGTTGAGAAAGAGAAAGATAGAGAAAGAATAAGTCTGGGGAAGCAGCGAGGACTGGGGGTGGAGCGCCGCGTCTGGAAGCACTTGTCACCCTCCCGTAGCTTCAGCATAATAAACTCCTTCCCACTGGCTCAATAGGGACCGCCACACCATGCTAATGTAATCTGTGCCTGTGGGTTTATTCGATTATCTTCATTTTCACTTGCTGATTCTACACACTTGATGAGAATAATACATCTCTTAACAACCTTACTGGGAAATTCTCGGATACGTATTAATTAATTTAAGACTAAAATCACAGAGAGACGAGGCTGGCAAGCGGACCCATGTAAAGATGTGATGCTCAATAAGGTAAATAAGAATTAGTGACGTCTACCCTGTGCGGACTTCTGGAGAGGCGTCCGAGTGTGTATTACTATTTGGGTTAGAGTCATGTGGAGCCGGGGGACCTACCTTATGTGTACCCACGTAGGATGCGACGCTCAACATGACAATCAGGAATTAGTTAAGTCTACCCAGTGCAGACTCGTAGAGAGGCGTTCCCCTGCCCAGCGACGGGAGGGACCACACACCACGACCCTCCCTCGACGCACCGTAAACCAGGCAATATTTTTAGCTAGCAAGGGCGCTGGCAGACACCGCGGCATAAGTACCCAGCGTATATATAGCTTCCCTCCATGCACTATCGCATGTTATTGATCGATGGTGAAAAATCTCAAAAGGTGGTGGGGGGGATTGTGCGATATTTTTATTTATTTTTATTTTTTTGCTTACAGAACGTGATGAGAATATGAGGGTAGGGTTGTCGGCTGGTGTGGTCCACTCAGTTTTCGTGGAGGCGTGCCACTGGTGCAGGGGCGGCGGCGGGTCCCTCCACTACTTGAGACTCCACCAGAGTAAATATACCGGGCGGGGATCAGCGGGCACAAGGTGTAGGCCGCAGCAAAACAAACAACCAAGACCATCCGGCTGGTCGCACACAAGCTCAACATCAAACGAGGAAAAACGGTGCTGAGAGCCGGCTGCTGCCTGCCTCCGGACCCCAACTGTATGTATTTACAAGTTACATGAAGTCGTACCTTCTAGTCTGAATAAAATACATTGTAAACAGTTCGACGACACCGCAATACGTCAGGAGATAAAGAAGTCGTCTTCAAGAGCCTCACTTCATGTCTCATACTGATAGCGTCTTGTTAGGCACCACTATACATTTGTGTCACAATTAGGACAAGTAATATATTCTGTGAGCAAATTAGGCAACAAAGCAATAAAAAAAACTCTGGCTATGAAATTAGAGATGACGGGATAATGACGTAAATATTAAGAGGGCAAACTGGGGAAGGTACAAACTGGATATGAATGAAATTAAAAGCTAAGGTCCTCCCAGGAGAGATGCAAAACTGGGAGCCCCAAGTAGTGCACCACAACGACTAACTACACTACACCTACAGGAGCACCGCGCCCAACCACCAGCTGGGACACCACGGGAGGCAGGTGGTTCCTCTTCCCAAGTTACATAGACCTTGACAGATGGCTTGTAATACGGGGAGGGGGGGTAGGACTAAGAGGTGGGAGGGAGGGAGTCCGTATACTGGTGGACTTCTTCATCAAGCATCAATGGTTCCACTACTATGTAGGGTCACTGACTGAAGGTAGTTCACCAGTTGCAGGTACTAGCCCTAGACTTGAGGGCCTTAGCATGAATGACTCCCGAAATTTACATTGAATTTCAGGTCAGCAATTTTTTTGCCCCGCGGAAATCGGGAGGACATCAGTAGGCTCCATTGATCACTTGTTTACACTGTTGCAACGGGGAGGAGGACGTACGGTCAAAGAAAAAGGTCGTGTTACACTTACCGCGCCTTATGTTCTGAAACCCACGACGAGAATTTGGGTAAAGTTTCCCGTGAACACTCGATCCTCGAACCTTCGCTTGTCACTTTACCCAAATTCATCGTCATGGGTTTCAGAACATAAGGCGCGGTAAGTGTAACGCGACTTTTTTCTTTGACTGTATGTCACGGGGAGCCTGGGGGGTGTACTCACGATCAAAAAAGTGTCTGTGCACACTGGCTCCGATGATTTCATAAATGATCAATACACTTAATATATAATGGTTGCCCCAAAGGCCACCTAGGCGTGAACTTGCTTAAGATGTAGAAGCAGTCACCAACGTAACAACTACACCCTCCCCAAGTTAACGAGCTGCATGACCCAGTGTCAAGGAATAGTCCGAGAAGACCGGACAACTCGCCAATTGCACTGGCTAACCATTACCCTGGAACACGATCCGGAAATCGATTAACATCCAGGTTCCCAATTACTGCTGGACAGACAGAAGCAAATGGCGTAAAGAAGCTTACCCATAGTTTCACCCTGTCCGGGGATCGAACCCGGGTCCGCTCTCTCTCTCTCTCTCTCTCTCTCTCTCTCTCTCTCTCTCGCCATCTTTGCCGTAACGTTAACGCCACCATGAATCACGCTACACATTGTTCACAAGATTAATCTACTTTCTTCTTAATGTGCATATAATAACAACACTTATTAAAGATAACACGGAAAATGTCGCTAGCAAACGATATATGTAATTGTGCAAAATCCATCGTCTGTGATGTCAGATTGTTTTACGCGAAATGTGCTTATACGTTTTTTTTTTGATCGTGTGTACGTACACCCACTAAAAATTGTTCGCCACCCTTACGGCATGACACAATATGACAAGGGTGTCGAATAATTTTTTAGTGGGTTTACAATGAAAGACAAAAGTCGTGTCGTGAAATTTGGTGAAAACATATGCCAACGGCTAAACTTTTGGTGCTTGCCAACCATGAGTATGTAACTGTGGTAGGGCTCTCATAATGTTTCACGAGTTATATTTAATCTTCGGACAAAACCGCGACACGACTTTTGTCTTTGATTGTACATCTCCCCTAGAACACACAGCCACGTCTCACTAACACAATGACAACATACGCCTGACGAAGGATCGCCCGTCCTTTGTATTACAGTATGTGGCGGTCGTTTTATCGTACGAGTGTGCCTCAGTATTCTACTTAATCTCTAAATCCACCAACTATGTGACTTAATTCCTCTTTATATATAAAAAAAAAATCTCAGATATAAAAAAGTTGTCCAGAAGACTAAGTAAAAATGTAACTGTGAAAGTAATAACTGTTCAAGCGCCACTAACACAGTAGAGATAAACCAGGCAGCATAACCCCTGTATTATACTGCACCTCTCACGTCTGCCGCCAGCACACCACCTCGCACCTCTCACGTCTGCCGCCAGCACACCACCTCGCTCACTCCTTTCTCACCTGCAAGGAAAAGAAAATCACAGAGTTAGCAGAGTGAACATAATATTTTTTTTGTCGAGATGTTCACTAGAGCCGAGTGTGACCCAGGTAGTGAAGCGTCTAGGTTTTGTGAACAAGTGTGTGGAGACAAGAACATTATTATTGGTTTTATTCCCCCGTGTCTCCTCACAGCCGAGGTCCTATACTCACCTTGTTACTAACAGTTAAAAAAAACATTGGTGTAGAATCAGTGGAGGGATACAAGAAGGAACTAGACAAGTTTTCTCAGATGGTACTTGAGCATTCAGCTGTAGAGGATATGGTGGTTTACAGGCAGCAACACGAGCCTCAATGATCACGTTGTCAACCAAGTCGTAATCGTGCCTGCATGGATGAGAAGCTCCAGGAATTGACGCCTGGTAAACTCTGCTGCAAAATTTATCCTCATAACGTCCAGCAACACAGACTACAACCTTCTCCTCCTCTTTCTGGTGCGAGGAGCCCCAGGAATCAACGCCAAATAAATGTAAGGTAAATGGTAGGTTAGACCTCCATATTTGTCCACCTAAACCAGGCTCCTTCCCCACCACACCCTACACCTTCACCCCTACACTCATAGCACGGACTTACTTCATTTTTATTCGACCCTCGTCCTGATTGTTCTACATTCTAGTCCATGAGCAGAACATCAAACATATATATACGAATTAAGTTTCACTGAAGCTTTAATACACCGAAGAACGAGAGGAATGTGAGCATTAATGAACACATAAATATAGGAGTGTGGTCATGTTGTTGTGGTGTACAGTTACTGCAGCCCCCACACCAACACACACCGGCGTCTTTCATGTTGTTTGTGGCCACCCCAGCTGACCTGCCACGCGACCCTCCCTCCCCCGCTCCCTCGTTCCCACTCCTTCCCTTCTTCTCCTTCCCTCCCTTACTGTCCTCCTCGTAATTAAGTTGCCATCCCATGATTTTCCGCCACCTCCATGCTACTGTATATTTTCATTGGGAATCAAACTCACAGCCAAACTTCAATTTTAACAAAACCGTTGATGCTCACTCAAACCCTTTTTAACTGAGTAACAAGAGTGAGTTATTCACTTTCGTTACTCACAAGTATAGAAGATTGGTACATTGTTTCTGTCTTCTAAAGTTACTATAATGGCCAAAGTTGACATTCTTGTTATTGTAAAAACTTCAAACAATTATTTTTTCCTTGTCTTCATTTTTTACTTCCCCCTTAACCTTTATTCGCCTCCCGAGTGTAATATGTTTTTTTTTTAATCCCAGTTGGGTTCAGGCTTGATGCCACCACCCTCTACACACATCATCAATCTTACACGTATATACATACACCATGACCAACACACCCTCCCGTAACACACACACACACACACACACACACACACACACACACACACACACACACACACACACACACACACACACACACACACACACACACACACACACACACACACACACACACACACACACACACACACACACACACACACACACACACACACACACACACACACACACACACACACACACACACACACACACACACACACACACACACACACACACACACACACACACACACACACACACACACACACACACACACACACACACACACACACACACACACACACACACACACACACACACACACACACACACACACACACACACACACACACACACACACACACACACACACCACCGCTGCCACCCTCCCACACACACACACACACCACCGCCGCTGCCACCCTCCCCACACACACACACACAAAACTACTGTATGTCTTAAAGGCACTGCCTTACCCTCGCCCGTTGACTCCTACCCACCTAAATATCTGCGTTGGCGAGTCGTACGAGTCTATATCAAGAAGCAGCCATTATGACGAAGAACTGAAAATGCTGGGACGGTACCTGTCAGTCTGTCAATCTGTCTCTTCATTTATTTTTCTCTCTCTCTCTCTCAAGCACTGGATCCAATGGCTACTAATTAACGCCGTCTGGTGTTTATCTTTGAGTACCAACCAACACTGACATATACTACCCTTGATAATGTTGAGGGCGGAATAATTAGCTTGGTGAGGTCTCAGACTGACAGACTAATGGTGATGGTGAGACCAGTGGTGGTGTGGACAGGTAGCGCGCGCGCGCACGCACACACACACAGTGACAGGCAGCTAACAGGACCGTCACCTCAGTAGTCACAACAACGGCCGGACGACAGAGCCATAACTTGACGTTACCCTGACGTCTTGGGCGGTCCTCACCCAACTCATCCACCCGGCCCTTCTACTCCATCACTCCACCCTCAACGGACAAGGGCTCCCACACTACTCCATCACTCCAACCTCTCAACAGACAACTCCCACACTACTTCATCACTCCACCCTCAACGGACACCAGCTCCCACACTACTCCACCCTTACATTCACTCCACCCCTACACTACGCTAGTCCCCCCCCATTTGCGAAGGCTACGGTACCCTCTCTCACTCCCCTCCCCTTTCGCACCCCTTCCCTCGCAAGTTGACACACCACTACCCCTCTCATACGGTGTGACTCCTCTCCTGTCCCTATCACACGGAACGACCTTTCCTCTGCCTCACACGGTGCGACTCATCTCCTTTCTCACACGGCAAGACCTCTCTCCTGTCCCTGTCACACGGTACGACTCCTCTCTGCCCCCCCACTCACAGGTACTCCTCCCACATGATATGGCAACTCCCAGCCTCCCACGTGCCTTTCACATGGTGTGGCTTTCTCCTCACCACACCCTGGGTACACCACACCCCCCCCTCACACCGGGTACACATCCTCCCCTCCTACACTCCTCCCCTTCCTACACCTCCTCCTCTCCTCCCCCTGATAGCTCACCGTGCCCCTGACCTCCCACCTCGTGTTTCTTGTTTATTATCGCCCCCACGTACGAACATGCCCGTGTAAGTGGAGTTGTTTAGTAGTCAGAACTAAAACTATTAAGGCTTATTGTTTTGTAGTTAGAATTAAACTATAAAGGTTTATTCAGTGGCATCGGTACAAGTGCATATTTAGGCAGGTACAGTTACTATGAGAATACTGTCAGGTCCCCGTGTCGATTCCCGTTCGGATTGGAAGGCTGGGCTCCCTTCTGTACAAGCCCACACATACTCAGAATACAGTGAATACACTATAGGCTGAGTACACTATTAGATGAGTACACTATCGAGTGAGTACACTATTTGATGAGTACACTATCGGGTGAGTACACTATCGGGTGAGTAAACTATCGGGTGAGTACGCTGTTAGATGAGTACACTATCGGGGGAGTACACTATCGGGTGAGTAAACTATCGGGTGAGTACGCTGTTAGATGAGTACACTATCGGGGGAGTACACTATTAGATGAGTACACTATCGAGTGAGTACACTATTTGATGAGTACACTATCGGGTGAGTACACTATCGGGTGAGTAAACTATCGGGTGAGTACGCTGTTAGATGAGTACACTATCGGGGGAGTACACTGTCTGGTGTGCTTGTCGAAAGTGGGAAAACCTTTTAGTGGACTAGCATCTTGTATAGTGGTGTGAGGTAAACTACTAGCTACTGAAGGATAAGAATTGGCAGACCAGCACCTGCTCGGTCACCCTGAACTACATCAGAGGGAAAAGTAAGTTAAGGTGATGTCCATGAAGCGAGTTATCGTGGTGGTGGTGTCGGCACGTAGAGGTGTGAGACAAGAGGTGTATCTAGGAACTACTTCATCCAGTCGTCAACACATGATAATGGAATCTTTCGCTCCTGAGCTAGCGAGCACCATGTGTGTTGACATGCTCTCTCTCTTTTAATCCCCCCCCCCTCTCTCTCTCTCTCTGTATCTCTCTCAATCCCCCCGTCTGTTTCTGTCTGTCTCTCAATCCCCACTCTATCCGTCTGTCTGTCTCTCTCTCGTGTACGTACCTGTGTGTGCATTAACCTGACTTTCATCACTCCCTCTCACTCGCTCGTGAATCAAGTTCCATTTCAGAAGGCGGTGTTTGTTTCTCCTGGGGTGTTTGTTTTGGCTTCCCGGGAGACTGTGCCTTTGACCTGACCGGGTGGCTGTGTTGGCCAGTGTTTGGGCGGCACCTGAGGGCGTCAACTGGCCGATGTGTGCCGCCCCCACCTACCAAAGGGACACCGCCCTTGCCACTCTACCTAGTGTTTACCTCCGAGTACATCCTGACAATGGCTTATTACACTACAGTTGTATTATTGACTTGACTTATTCAATGTACAAATGCCTAAAAAGAATATTAAATACACACTGTAGTCACGACCTAATTCGTGAAAAAAATTATCCATATTTTCTTTTGATATTAAGACTTCGAAATTGACTCCCAATAATTCAATACTTATTTTCAGAAACAGGTTCCCCCTTATATTCGTATGCTGTCATGACCCAGATATTGAATCTGTATAAACGCTACGAAGGTTTAAATAAGTGAATTACTATTTTTTTTTTACTTTCTACGTCTGCCGTCAAGACACACCGCTACTGCTTGAGTATTATACAGCAGGAGACATAAAAGGGCGGAGGGGCAGGGAGGGCGGGGGGACACACACACCCGCGCCATAAACCAAGATTACAATAAGACAGTCCCCAGACGAAGCGGTGACCCGGGGATCAACGAGGCTCCCCCAGACCACCAGCGATACACACAGACACACTCCCTCTACATTAATCTACACTTCTAAGTACACACCGCTACACCTGTTCCCCGGCGTGATTATCATACTGAGTCAGCGGGAACAAGGTGCAGTAGGTGGGACTTTACTGCCCTGTGTGGGGAGCTTAACAGTGTCAGGGGGTGATAAAACACGCTCGTTCATTTGCTCTTGCTTGGCACCCGCAACGACACAACACCACCGCTAAATTGTCTTTCCGTGTTACAGCCCTGATCTCCCCCTACCCCTCCTTCCCTCCCTGTAACCTCCCCACTCGTCCCCAAAACCTCCTCGCTCTTTTCAACAATATCCCCTTCCCCACCACCTCCCCAACCCTCTAACCCCTACAATCTGTCTCCCCACCTCTCCACAGCCTCCTCCACCACCACACCCCTAGCCCAGAAGCTCCAACAATGATGTCACCGCCCGCACTGATCCTTCTGGACGAGACCTGGAGACAGTCCCGTCATGTTGAGTTAGTTATCTCCCAGCAGCTGGTGACGGCAGGAGTTTTCGTGTCCCTCCTCTCTCCTGAGCCATCAGTTACCACTTCCACCTGCCGTCACTCCTACCTTGCCGTCACTCCTACCTTGCCGTTACTCTCACCTGCCGTCATTCCCACCCTACCGTCACTTACACCTGCCGCCATTCTCACCCTGCCGTCACTTACACCTGCCGTCACTGCCACCCTATCGTCACTCACAACTGTTGTCACTCCCAACCCTGTCGTCACTCACAACTTCCGTCACTTACACCTGCCGTGCCTTACA